TCCAAAAAATAGATGCCATGGTGGGGGAGACTACCATTCCGACAAAATTTGGGAAAGACCACCCCAAAACCTACCCCTGCATCTGACTTTGAGCCGTTAGTGTATACAGTGGAGCCTGGATTTACGTGGTTTTGGTTAACGCGTTTGCCAGAATCGAAATGCTTTATTTACATGGTAAATTTGGTCATTTACGCGGCGAGTCGCTGGAGGGTCCAGACGCGCCGCCCCATTTTGGATTCAAGCGGCCCGCTATCCCGTAAGGTTGCGCAGTATGTCGCTGTTGCGTTATTGGTGACATCATATGACGTATCGGACTGTGATTGGGCCACACATCCTTACCTCCCTCCCCCGCTAGCTGTGATTGGTTCAATGTAATATGACGTGCACCTGCCCCCACAGAGAAACCGTTACCTGCGTCAGTCGCCCTCTTCCGAGTCACCCCGTGTAAACTGTGTTCTATTGTTACCGCTAATCTCGTAAGAATGGCATCTGCTGGACCCCCACCACCACAGAAAAACCTTGCATTACCTGGAACCCAGCCACTCCAAGCCAAAGAAGATACGGCGTGCCCTAAGTTACGAAGTTAAGTACAAGATCGTACAAGAGTTAGAAAAAGGAACGAGGCAAGTTGATTTGGCGCGCCAGCATGGCGTGAACGAATCTACGATCCAGACGATCAAGAAGGATGCCGCCAAGATAAAAGAACACATGAACATCACAAATTCTGCAGGTGCTTCAATGGTGAAGTACTGTCAGAACAAGGTGCTGCTCAAGACTGAGAATTTGCTGGTGAGCTACTTGATTCGTCAGGCAAGATGGAACATGGTGGTGGACAGGCGCTCAGTTCAGGACTACGCACGTGAACGGTGCGTAGCAGTGGCACGTAAGATGGGAATTGCAGAGCCCAAACCCTTCACTGCTTCCTCTGGGTGGCTGCAAGGGTTTAAGAAGAGGAACATGATCACCAACATTAACTTTGCGGCAAGTGATTTTCCTCCATTCTTACTTGACATTATGGAGGAGGGACAGTACACCGACGACCAGGTGTTCAACATGAATGAATCCGGTCTGTTTTGGAAAAAGCTACCTACCAAGACCTTCGTTGTCCAGTCTGCCAGTAAGTGTCGGGGTCGGAAATTGCAGGAGTGGTGCATCACCATCCTGTTTACCACCAATGCCTCTGTTACCTGTAAGCTCAAGTTATCGGTGATCCACACAGCCCGCAAGCCGCACGTTTACAAGAACATGGACATGACCAAGCTAAATGTCCACTGGCTAACCGCGTGCATGTTCACTGGTTTGTCCCTCTCCTGGTTTGAAGACTGTTTCGTTCCCGACGTCAAGAAATTCTGTGAGCAACAGAATGTTCCATTCAACATTTTCTTTCCCCTTGACTACGCACCAGAACACTCACCCCTACTGTTGGATCATCACCCCAACATAAAAGTGGTCTTCCTTCCTCCCAATACTACGTCGTTAATCCAGCCCATGGACCAGGAGTTGATATGCAACATAAGGCTGCATTCTCTGCAAAGAAGTTTAAGCTCCTGTACGACTGTACTAACACCAAGGATGAGTTGCATAACCTGGGTGACACCGATAACGAGAGCGACGAGGACGAGGAAGAAGATTTGGCCTAGCAAGAAGTTCGCATCAAACAGTTTTGGAAGAAATTCAATGTCAGGACAGCTGTTGATTTCTTGGTAGAGGCATGGGGGCAGCTGTCTGTGGCAACTATTCGTCACGCATGGCGGCATGTGTTGCAAGGTATCCCAGGTGGGAGGCAGAGTCAACTTGTGAATGGTGAGGTTCAGTCTGTTGCAGTGGCAGTGGACCTTGCAAGAGAAGCTGCACAGTGTGTTACAGTTGCAGGCTTCTCCGAGACCACCAACGACGACATTATGGAGGTGATAAGGGATCCTGAGGTGACTGCCGACTTGATGTTAGAAGACGATGACGTCAGTGAAGATGCAGGTGGTGCGGCAGCCCGAGAACAACAGAAGTTAACACATGGTAATGTAAAGGATGCCATCAAGTTTGCAGAGAAACTCAAGCTCGTCCTTTCCAACGACCCTGACGATCACCGCTATGAAGTCTTCAATAACCAGCTGTTGCAGACTATGGAGCAGTACATCTATATGTATCACGAACACATCACCACTAGCCGTCAGCGTAACATCACGGACTTCTTCACCCGCAACCCTCCACAGCCAGCCGAAGCCAGTGATAGCGACAGTGATGTTGACTTTGAGGGATTTGTCAGGGAGGCCCTGACAACTGTGGTGGATAGTGATGGTGATTCACTTGAGGGCCAGTAATCTGCCCTCTGCCTCGGAACCAGCCCCCATCAACTTATGCCGACCCATCTCTTCGACTAACGTAAGTGTTAAACCTAACCTAACGTAAGTGTTAAACCTTGATTTTTTTTTTACCAGGTACAGTATATTATTCTCTTATTGATATTTCTCTTCTATATTATGTGTTTGTGCATACCATCAAAATGAAGATAATATTTTTACTACAACGTATGTATCATGTTGCAAAAAGTGGAGTTTGGGGGTCGGCCCAGTCTGTATTTCAATTAATCCCCTATGTTTTGTTATTTCATTTATGCGTTTCTCGTTTTACGCGGGCCTCCACGGGTTCAATTGACCTCGTAAATGCAGACCCCACTGTACAGGGATAGTCTCTCTGTGAGAGGAGGCATGCTCAAAAAAAAAAAAGAATGAACAACACAAGGAGGGAGTAAGTCCTTCCTTTCGTTAAAATTCTGGCAAACTTGAACTTCAGGGCGAATCCACAGAGCGGCACTAGGGAACCGCATGGAGCATATCTGAACAAGAGGAAGACAAAGAATACTCACAACTTCCCTTACCCTGAAGCCAAAAGATTGCGAGAGACCTGGATGCTGAGTGTAGTGTGGGGACATAGTCTTGTCAACTACACAAGTGTTGGTTACAGACTGCGGAAGGCCGTGGAGATGACACCAACACTGGATCTGCTGACGTCGAAGATCAAGGGGTGACTCATCAGCATCAACTACTAGACTTGGGATTGGTGAAGACCTGAAGATACTGGTCGCCAGGTGCCCCCCAGCATGATCAATAGAGTTCACTGTATTGAATCTAGCCTTAGTGGCTGAGGATTACACCTTACACCCATAATCCAGTTTGGGTCTAACTAACATGTGGTAATGGTATAACAAGAGTTCCTAGGATAGCACCTCACGACGTGTGCCCCAAGACTCAATAACTTGAGAGCACACTGGCAAAGCTCTTTAAGGACGAATATGTGGCTGCCACGTAAGCTGGTTGTCGAAGATAATGCCCAGGATCGTGATCTGGGTGAACACCTCCAAGGGGGCAGAAATGCATGGCAACTGTCTTCAAGGGAGAAAATCTGAAACCAAACTCGAACTGCACTCAAGTATACATATGTATTTGTTTTAGAGACCACTCACAATTAAAACAGTTCTTAATATATTTACTTTTGTTTTTTAAATTAAAAAAAAGTAGTGTTTTTTTAAAGCAAATGCTTAGTTTTGGGGTTACAGTATTTCAATTATAAAGTAAAAAAAATTTTGTACAACTTTGGCGGTTCTCCAGATTCCTGTTCGCTGGAGTGGATTTTTTGTTTGCTTCTTCTTCATATGTCCTGTGATATATGCCTACCTCCAGCACGTTTACACATGAAGTGTCATCTCGTTCCTCTTAGCTTTCATTAGGCCTTTATCAAATGATTCAAATCTGATTACACCGCTGTACAGTATCCCTGTTATAGATGATACAGTATATATTTTAATAATAAATAATATATTTTAAAATAAATTGTTTTTAAATGAATTGTACTGCTATATATAAAGGACAAATTTTAAAGGAAACACACATGGCATTTATTGTACAGTATATTAAAATACAAATTTAAGGGTCATCGGGGGGCTAATGAGTGGCTGCTTAGTTGTGCAGTAGCCCCCACAAACCCCCCCCACTTGGTAAAAGTCCAGACAATCGGCAAGACTGTACCCTCTTTCCTCCCAAATTGTCTGGACTTTTGAGGGTTTACTGTATATACATAAAAAGGAGAAGAAGAATCAAGAAAATGGAAAACTTTTCAAGAAAATTGTGTTACTGTATGTGAAAATAACATGCTACAGTATTTGATTCTGTTAGAGGCTCATTTTTTTTAGATCATACATTAGAAATGACAGCCAAATAAATTTCACAGGGCACCAGTGTGCATGTTCTTGTTTTACCCTGAGCTGTTATCAATATCATGCATAATGCCATTACTGTATAAGTTTTATATACGTAAAACCTTGATAACTTGACACATATGGGACTGGTCTAATTTAAAGAACGTAACACTTACCAGAAAGGTGTGGGTAATTAGAGAGATGGGGTGGAAAGGAGTGTTGTCAATCGCTCCTCAACAACTGATATTTAACTCGCTACCATGCAGTCACACGGATGGCTGGAGCTGGTGGGAGGCGAACCTTTTTGGGGGAGAAGGGGAGGGTCGCGCTCACTTCTCTCCCCTCCTTCCTCACTTAAGTGTGGCTAATTGTGATAGGGAGATGAATTTTATACCATAATGATCTTTAATCCTGATTGGACAGCCAAAATTGTGAGAATGAGTTGCTGAGTAATCTTGATAGAAAAATTTACAAATAAACATGTGTAATGCTATGTGTCTCATTTTTATCTTTAATTAACTATATTTTTGTATATAATTTACTTTGGATTAATTTTAATATTTGAGACAAATTATTTTTTGTTACTTTTTGCTTTCAGTACTTGAGTACATTAAGAATGAGATATTTTTTTACTTCTACTTGAGTAACATTTTGCCAGTGTAACAATACTTTTACTTAAGTAACAAAGTCCAGTTCTTTTTACAACTGCTGTACTGTACAGTATTATTATTTATACAGTACAACAATACAATAATGTATGAATTTATCTTGAATAAAATGTTATCTAATTCCATTATGTTTCTCCCAGGTTTGGTTAGTGATTACAAGATTGCTGCTCTCAAAACTATGGAGGAAGCAACATGTGAGAGAATCATGAAGAAAATGGATATGGTCATAAGCCAAGACTCATTATTGTAAGTTGTTCAAAGATCAGTTAATGTAATAATAGTCTTAACAAATTTATTACTTCACTTAGATATCTTTTTTTTTTTTTACTTAATACCTTCTGCTAGGTGGCTCTAATTAATTTGCTTGCAGTTTGGGGTGGGTGTAAGGAGGTAGTTTTGGACACTAGTAGACACACTCCCTCATTTCACAGCTGTGGAATTGATTATGTGAGTGCCCACCCCTCTCCAGACAAAAAGGCCATATAGGTAAAGTAATCCTCCCATGAGTCGGAATCTCCAGTCACCAGAACTCTCTAATAACTCAAATGAATTTTGAGCCCTTCAAGAAAACTCCATATATATATATATATATATATATATATATATATATATATATATATATATATATATATATATATACATATATATATATATATATATATATATATATATATATATATATATATATATATATATATATATATATATATATATATATATATATATATATATATATATATATATATATATATATATATATATATATATATATATATATATATATATATATATATATATATATATATATATATATATATATATATATATATACATATATATATATATATATATATATATATATATATATATATATATATATATATATATATATACACACACAGACAGACCTCGACTTCATTTGTCAACTGCACTTTTACTTACGTCAGGACTACTTAATTTAAGATTTTTATTAAATTTTTTTTTTTTTTTTTTATGTTTTCAAATGACACGCATTTTCTATACCTGAAACGTTTCCAGTTAATATAGTATCCATGTATAATTAGAAAATTATGGGAGTACTATTGCATTCAATGACTACATTAAAATGAATGCTGTCCTGTAACCATTCATTATTTATTACTTTCCTGCATCCATTCCTCATTATTCATTACTTTTTACTGTACTGTATTTCATTGTAGATTATTTATTTAAAAAAAAAAAAATTTTTATCTATTGACTGATATATTGGACTTCGACCTTATTTGGGTCCTAACCCGTCGTAAGTCGGGATGTAATATATATATATATTATATATATATATATATATATATATATATATATATATATATATATATATATTACCGCTTAACGTTTTTCACTTAGCAGCGTTTTATCATATCACGGTGCCTCGCGATATGAACTTTCATAACACGGATTTTTCCATATCTGGGTGAGGATTTTTCCATATCGCGGTGAGTGTGTCCGGCTTCGGAGATGCTATTTTAGGTTTCCCCCACCCGCCCTGCCTGACTGCCTGTTTAGCTCATAAATTCATACAAATTGCCGGTCAGAATATTAATTTACATTGCTGGAATTCTTATAATTTGGTGATGTCATTTTGAATATAAACATCATATATTTTGCATTAGACATACAAATTTTAGATAAAAATTTTCTCGGAAACTATGTTATCTTTTGTGCGAAAATATATGACTATATTCAAAATATTCCTAGTCTTACAGAATCAGCAATGTCAATTATATTATCCTAACTTTAATCTGAGGTATTATTTAATACTAAATGTTAAAAACTCTTGAAGGGAGAGTTGGTGGGGGGTGGGGGGAGGGTTGGGACTGACGCGCAGTTGGAGAGGAGAATTGGGTATTTTGATTGACAGATAGTGTCCTGAAGATTATTTTTTGTGTTAACTGGAGAGTATTTGTTTTAGCTCATAAAATTCTTCAAATTACCGGTCAGAATATAATTTACATTGCTGGAATTCATAATTTGGTGATCATTTGAATATAAACATCATATATTTTGCATTAAACATACAAATTTTAGATAAAAATTTTTCTCTAGGTAACTATGTTATCTTTTTTGCAAAATATATGACATTTATATTCAAAATATTCAGGTCTTCAAGGGAATCCAGCAATGTCAATTGTATTATCTAACTTTAGTTTGAGGTATTATTTATTAAAATTTAGTGGTTTCCCAAAAATTTCTCAGAGAGGAAGAGCGGCAGTGTAGTGTGAGAGGGAGGAGTTGAGTCCATTATTTGAATGGACAACTAGCGACTGTATTCTCTATTTCTCTTAAGTATTAATTGTGTGCATGTACCATCATAAAATTAAGATGTTATTTTACTACAACATAGTTATGTGTCTTCAAAAGTGGAGTTGGGGTCGGGCCGGTTTCTATTGGAATTAATCCCATATGTTCTGTTGTTCCTTAGCAGTTTATAACAGGACCCTCTGGGTTCTACAGATTTATTTACCCTTAACATATATATATATATATATTAATATATATATATATATATATATATATATATATATATATATATATATATATATATATATATATATATATATATATATATATATATATATATATATATATATTATATATATATATATATATATATATATATATATATATATATATATATATATATATATATATATATATATATATATAAATGAGTGCTGGCGTGATCTAGTATTATATAGCATAAGGAAAGAAAACACAGAGTTCCCAAGCTCCGTGTGAATTCTACATCTTCAGGGAGTACAGATTAGGATGTGAATTACAGCGATGCATATATATATATATATATATATATATAGCATTTGGTTAGCATTAGATTGATTAGATTATAGGATTAATCCGCTTTCAGGCCCCCAAATACAACCACTTAACAAAAAATATAATATTAAATTGTAAAAAATTGTAAAAAGTGCATAAATATGCATCTAAACCTTGAAATAAAAGAATATCATTAATACTTGTAATAGAAACAATAAATTAATAAAAAAAAAAAAAAAATTATAATGTTGGTTATGAGAGTTTAGATTCGTTTTAGCATCCATCAATTTTTATAGGTAAACCCGTTCTTTATAGGAATATTTATGTAGATCATTAGATTTATAGCATACCTTATATATATATATATTTATATATATATATATATATATATATATATATATATATATATATATATAGTTTAACGAACACCTCGGTTAGCAATAATTTCGATTAACGAATACTTCCATATGGATCTTCAGTTGGTTTAACGAAAAAATTTAAACAACGAACTTCTTCTGAAGTCCTCAACATGTTTTTAGCTTGCCTGACAGACATCAGCTTTAGTATCAGTCTCTTA